AACAGTGAACTGGAATGTTTAGCTGAAGAGATTTCTAGGCAGAATGATAGAGGCCTGGCCTGACTTCTTGCTGCTAATGGTACAATTTGGGAGGACAGAATACACTGAAGAACGAATTGTTAAAACAAATCTGGAAGACTCTCAGCTTATTCATACTGCAAAAAATGCAAAAGCACGCTCTGGAGAGAACAAGGATGTGGTGGAACAGAGAAATTAGGTGTGGGACTTGTAAATCCATTAACCAACTCAGCAGAAATGTTACCAACACGGACTGAAGCGGACAGAGATGGGTTCGAATGAAGGAAAGTCATTGGATGTCTGGGATTCTACAGGTAGAAAAAACGGGCTTGCGGCGCTATCCAGATGCGCACACGGGCCGGAACGACCCCGGGGGTAGAACCCCCTCCTTGGTCCCAGAGGGTGAAGTCACCTTTTCAATTCCAGAGCTGGTCCACGACCCCAGGGGGCTCAGAGGACACAGCATTTGGCCAAAGAGAAGTATTCTCAGGCCTTAAAATCTAATGGAATTTGCCCTATTTTGGACTTGCTTGGGACTCACAGCCCATTTTCCTGATTTCTCCCTTGTGGGATGGAAAGGTCTACTTTTGCCTGTGTTGATCATTGTATGCTGAAAGCTGAGAACTTGTCTGGTTTCACATGTTCTCAAATGGGGAGAAATATTGCCTCAGGATGAAGCTACCCCAAGTCTCACCCACATCTGATTTAGATGGTATTTAGATGAGATTTTTTAAAATTTCTTTTTATTTATATTTCTGAGAGAGAGACACAGCATTAGCAGGGGAGGGGCAGAGAGAGCGAGACACAGAATCCGAAACAGGCTCCAGGCTCTAAGCAAGCATTCAGCACAGAGCCTGATGCGGGGCCGGAACCCACGAACCGTGAGATCATGACCTGAGCCAAAGTCGGACGCCCCCTGACTGACTGAGCCACCCAGGCGCCCCTAGATGAGATTTTCAAGTTGATGCTCGGGTGAATTAAGCCTTCAGGGGGTGCTGGGCTGGGGCGGGGTGTGTTTTGCATGTGAGAAGGACACGGATTTGGTGAGGGGGAGCAAGACGGCAAACTTAGGGTCTGAATTGTGTAAGGAAGATGCACTGGATTCTTAGCCCCCAGGGCCTCAAGATGTGAAGTTAATGAGCGAATAGTATCTTTACAGAAATAATCACGTGAAAACTAGACAATAAAGGTGAGACTTAAGCCAACGACTAGGATCTTATAAGAACAGATTTGGGCACAGAATTGGTAGTAATGAGCCCTGGGGTGTTGGCAGAATAAACCTGCTCTTGCAAGTCACGGTCCACTTTTTCAGGGAGGGGAAGGGGCTCTCCGTCAGGAGTTGGCAGGTTTCCTGGGCAACAGTATCTGCCATAACTCTGCCATTATAGTGTAAACGCTGCCAGAGAATACAAAAATCATGTCTATGTCCCAATAAAACTTGATTTATGGATGCTGACATTTGAATTTCAAATAATTTTTTCAATTTGTGAAGTAGTTTCTTTTTGCAACCGTTTAATAACATAAGGACTTCTTGGCATGCCATCCATCCAAATACAGGCAAGTTGCACGTGACCAGTTAGCTGCAGCTTGCTGACATCTAAGCTACGTATTTCTAGAGCCTCCAGTGAATTCTGTTAGGAGTTTGCTAGGCTGAGTCCTCAGACTCCTGTCAGATATCTCTGTATGAATCATCAAGATGCAGCTTTTTCTAGACCAGTACTTGTTTACATCAGGGATCAGTGAGGACATGAAGTGAACGGCTTAATTCAGCAAGTCAAATGTCACAATCAATACTCTTCCTTGAGATTTCAGGGTTTCACGTCACTAGTTAAGGGTTATGAATGACCAGGAGTAGCCACCCCATCTCCCGGGTCATATTTCTTCATATATTAAAAAACTCTTCTTCGGCAAGTCCCTCAGTATTCTCCAAATCTAATCATCAGGGGCTACAAGGTTCTTGGTGTCCACAAGTAAGGACACGATTTCATACTATAGGCTCACAGGTTTCCATACTGGAACGTAAACAAGAGTCTGATTTTTCTTCCTTCCTCAGGAAAAAAGCCCACTTTTGTTACCTATACACTACTCCAAAGTGACAATTTATTAAAATCTTTGAATTATACAAAATAGAAGTTCACTCTCCTTTTTAAAAAAATTTTTTTAGGGGCGCCTGGGTGGCTCAGTCGGTTAGGCGCCCAACTTCGGCTTGGGTCATGATCTCACAGCTCGTGGATTTGAGCCCCACGTTAGCTCTGTGCTGACAGCACAGAGCCTGGAGCCTGTTTCAGATTCTGTTATCTCCCCCTCTCCCTGACCCTCCCCTGCTCACTCTGTCTCTCAGAAATAAATTAAAAATAAGGAAAAAAAACATTAAAAAAAATGTTTATTTATTGTTAAGAGAGAGCATGAGGGGGTGAAGGGCAGAGAGGTAGACAGAATCTGAAGCAGGTTCCAGGCTCCAAGCTGTCAGCAAAGAGCCCAACATGGGCTCGAACCTACGAACGGTGAGATCAGGATCTGAGCTGAAGTCAACATGCTTATCCGACTGAGCTACCCAGGTGCCCCAGAAATTCAATCTCCTTGAGGCGCCTGGGTGGCTCAGTCGGTTAAGTGTCTGTCATCCTCTTGATTTCGGCTTGGGTCATGATCTCCCGGTTCGTGAGTTCAAGTCTCGCGTCAGGGTCTGAGTGCGGGGCCTGATTGGGATTCTGTCTTCCTTGCTCTCCGCCCCTCCACAAACCACAATCCCCCACTCTCTCAAAAATAAATAAATAGGGGGGGTGCCTGGGTGACTTAGTCGGTTAAGCGTCCGACTTTCGCTTAGGTCATGATCTCACGGTTCGTGGGTTCGAGCCCCGCGTCGGGCTCTGTGCTGACAGCTCAGAGCCTGGAGCCTGTTTCCAATTCTGTGTCTCCCTCTCTCTCTCTGACCCTCACCTGCTCATGCTGTCTCTCTCTCTCTCTCCTAGAAATAAATAAAACATTAAAAATTTTAAAAAGTAAATAAATAAATAGGGGCACCTGGGTGGCTCAGTTGGTTAAGCATCCAACTTCAGCGGCTCGGGTCATGATCTCACAGTTTGTGGGTTTGAACCCCACACGGGGCTCTGTGCTGACAGCTGAGTCTGGAGCCTGCTTTGGATTCTGTCTCCCTCTCTCTCTGCCCTTCTCCTGCTTGCATTCTGTCTCTCTCAAAAATAAACATTAAAAACAAACATTAAAAACACATACACACAGAAATGGGGACCTGGGTGCTCAGCTGAGTGTCTGACTTCGGCTCAGGTCATGATCTCTCAGTCCCTGAGTTGAAGCCCCCCCACCCCCCCCGTCAGGGTCCATGACCCGCTCCACGCTGGCACTGTGGAGCCTGTTTGGGATTCTTTCCTCTCTCTTTGCTCCTCCCCACTTGTGCTTTTCCTCTCTCTCAAAATGAATGAATGATCTTAAAAATTTTTTTTTTCGCTCTCCTTAACTTTAGCAGAAGAAACCTTTTTCTTGGAGAGGAGGAAGCACACAGGCAGAGGGACAGCACCCAGAGTTATTCTGGGAAACCAGTAGAGCAGGAAGTAATTGATGGTCTCACCTCTGGGGCAAGAGTGAGTTAGTTCCCACATTTTCCTTCTGGTTCATGTGAGACTGAATCAGAAACTCAAAATCTAGCATAGATGTTTCCTTTACCCAGCAATGGCTGGTGGGTAGATGCCCGGAAAGACCCCAACCAGAGAGCACACACATCAGGGAGGTACTTCTGCAGAGAAAACTAGGGTGTTCTTACCAGTGAGCAGACACTGAAATGCTAAAATATAATCTTTGTTCATTACAATGAGTCTCTTAAGCAAAACCTGCATAATAATTGCCAGGCCCACTTATGTACATTGCTGAGTACTCATTTACGGAACAGTATCTTTTCATTTATTTTTTTATTTTTATTTTTTTATAATGATTTTTTACTGAAATTTTTAAATGTTTTTTAAAAAATGTATTTCTGAGAGAGAGACAGCGTGAGCAGGGGAGGGTCAGAGAGAGAGGGAGACACAGAATCTGAAACAGGCTCCAGGCTCTGAGCTAGCTGTCAGCACAGAGCCCGATGCGGGGCTCAAACCCACAAACTGCGAGATCATGACCTCAGCCAAAGTCGGCCACTTAACCGACTGAGCAACCCAGGTGCCCCTCTTTTCATTTATTAAAACCCACATTATTTGTTATATTGGTAAGAAATGAAGAGACAATACTGATATATAGCATTTAATATGGAGAATATTGGGGGGTGTTATTCCACAAACTACCAAATATATGTCTAGCAAGTTACGTTAAAAAATACCAAAAAATGTAAAAAATGCTACTTAGTGTTACTCAGGAAAGTCACACTAAGTATCTCTCAATCCTCAGAATCTGTTCCTTGCCATTTCCCAACCATCACTTTATTTACATATTAAAATAAAAACTTTATACTCCACCATGAAAAAAGCTACCACTTATAATTTAGATTTTCTTCACTCTAAAACATAGCTTCAAATCTGGAATGTGACTTTCCATATATAACACATTTTCTATGCGAAAATGCTTTTCTGATTAAATTTAGGTTTTAAATAGGAATTCTCTGAATTTTATCTTCATAATGATGCTACTGCATCTGATGTCACTGCTCCTCATTCCTTCAGTTCTGGTCACAGAGACGTGTAGGACTTCTTTCTCAAAGCTTTTGCCCATTCATTCCAAATACGACCGCCTCACTCGGACTTAATTGGCAGGAGTGTATTTTTAGGACTTCCTGCTTATACAACCCATCTATATTATCATCTGGTCTCCTGAGGATCAACTTCTGTGAGAAAGTTTCTAACATCTACTTCATTTCAATTTCTCATTTGTGAGTTTTTCGATGTATACGAAGCCCTGAATTCCAACAGAAGGATTTCCCGCATTCAGAACACTTCCATGGTTTCTCTCCTGTGTGAACTCTCTGATGTTCACTGAGGGACGACTTCTGGGTGAAGGCCTTCCCACATTCACTACATTTAAAAGGTTTCTCTCCTGAGTGAGTTTTCTGGTGTATCTGAAGTGAAGCCTTCCTAGGATAGGCTTTCTCACATTCGCTGCATTCGTAGGGCTTCTCTGTTGAGTGAGTCCTCTGGTGTATAATTAGCTGTGATTTCCCACAAAAGGCTCTCTCACAGAAACTACATTCATAGGGTCTCTCTCCTGTGTGTGTTCTCCTATGTATAACGAGGTAGGATTTACTGCTGAAAGCCTTCCCACACTCGCTGCACCCGTAGGGCTTCTCCCCTGCATGCGCTCTCAGATGCGCAGTGAGTTGTTCCTTCCTACCAAAGGCTTTCCCGCATTCACTGCACTGATAAGGATTATTTCCTGTGTGGATTCCCTGGTGAACAACAAGTTGTGTCTTCATATTGAAGGCTTTCCCACAATCACTGCACTGATAAGGTTTCTCGCCTGTGTGCATTCTGATGTGAACCAGGAGGTAGGACTTGCTCCTAAAGGCTTTCCCACATTCACTGCATTTATGGGGCTTCACTCCCGTGTGAGTCCTCTGGTGTACAACGAACGGGGACTTCAAACTAAAGGCTTTCCCACACTCACCACACTCATAAGGTTTCACTCCCGTGTGGCTTCTCTGGTGTAAAATGAGCTGTGATTTCCAGCTGTAGGCTTTCCCACAATCACTGCAACCGTATGGTTTCCCCCCCGTGTGAATTTCCTGATGGACAATGAGCTGTGACCTGAAAGAGAAAACTTTCCCACACTCGCCGCAGGAGTAGGGCTTCTCTCCCGTGTGGACTCTCTGGTGAGCATTAAGATTTGACTTGGCACTGAACGCCCTTTCACATTTAGTGCATTCGTAAGGCCTCTCTCCCGTATGAATTCTCAGATGGACGATCAGCTGTGATTTACAACGAAAAGCTTTCCCACATTCATTACACACACAGTTTTTTTCTATACTATGAGCTCTTTGATGCTTAAGAAAATATGATTCTTCATATCCATGAAACTTATCAGGATTTTTTCTCAGACAGTTTCTGGTCGAACCTGAGTTTTGTGTCAAGCTTCTTCCATGTGTGTTATACTTATGGATTCTTTGTCTTGAAGAAAGTTGGGTTCTGCTCAGATGAAGTTTTCCAAACGCACTAAAAGCATAGCTTTTCTCAACATTTTCAAGCTCATCTTGATTTTTCTGGTACCATTCTTTCCAATCTTCTAGGAAAAAAATACATACACATATTTTTAATCATCATATGTAGCTGATATCGAATTAGAGAGGGTTTTTTTTGTTTTATTGAAAGTTTTTTTTAAAACATTTTTTAAAATATTTTTTTTTTAATTATTTATTTCTAGGAGAGAGAGAGAGAGAGACAGCGTGAGCAGGGGAGGGTCAGAGAGAGAGGGAGTCACAGACTCTGAAACAGGGTCCAGGCTCTGAGCTGGCAGTCAGCACAGAGCCCGACGCGGGGCACGAACCCACGAACCGCGAGATCATGACCTACTAAGCCACCCAGGCGCCCCTATTTATTGAAAGTTTTAAAACTCCCATGTAATGAGTCTTTTTTTGATAACAGGCCTCAGACACTGGTTCGAAAGAAATACTGGCCAAGTGTACATGTGCCATCTTTCTGAGCTAGGGAACATGAGGAACTGCGTCAAACCAAAGCCCATTATGGAATGGATGGCAAATTAGCAGTGATTAAAAATGGTTGTTTTTTTTTTTAAGTTTATTTATATTGAGAGAGAGAAAGAGAGAACATGAGCAAGGGAGAGGCAGAAAGAGAGAGGGAGAGAGGGAGAGAATCCTAAGCAGGCTCTGCACTGTCAGAGCAGAACTCAATGTGGGGCTCAAACTCAGGGACCTTGAGATCATGACCCGAGCCAAAACCAAGTGTCAAACACTTAAACAACTGAGCAACCCAGGCGCACAAAAAGAGTTCCTAAAACAGAGGCTTACTAAGCTTAGCCTGCACTTAGGAGCCAATGTCATTTATCAGATATCTGAATGTCATTACGTGTTTATTATTCAAAAAGTGAATTGAAACAATACAGAGCAACCAGGATATAACATTCAGACAGGTACAATGAGACGCTAAAAGACGAAGTTAGCAGGGCTCCTGGGTGGCTCAGCTGGTTAAGTGTCCCACTTGGGCTCAGGTCATGATCTCACAGTTCATGAGTTCAAGCTCTGTGTCAGGCTCTCTGCTGTCAGCGCAGAGCCCACTCCAGATCTTCTGCTCCCTCTCTTTCTGCCCCTCCCCTACTTGCACTCTCTCAAAAATAAACATAAAAAAAAGTTCACAAATTGAAAAAAAAATAGAAGATTGAGTTAACTACAGAAAAATTAAGGCAAGAGCATTTCAAACCAAAGGGAAAGCACATATAAAGTTCTTGAGAAGGGAACCTACTTGGCACAGTTAAGAAACAAAACATAAGGCACCTGGCTGGCTCAGTAGGTAGCGCATGCAACTCCTGATCTCAGGGTCGTGAGTTCAAGCCCCATGTTGGATATGGAGCTTACTTAAAAAAAGAAAGAAAGAAAGAAAGAAATAGAATAAATGTCAGCATAGCTCAAACCCATTGAATGAATAAAGCAAGGCAGGAACCAAATAGGCAAGGCCATGGCAAAAAGTTTTACCAAAGGATTTTAAATTAGAGGACATCTGGATTCAGGTTCTGCTTTTATTTATTTTGAGAGACAGAGCGTGTGCGTGGGTGCGGTGGCAGAGAGAGACAGAGACACAGAATCTGAACCAGACTCTGGGTTCCCAGCTGTCAGCATGGAGCCCGGTGTGGGGCTCGAACCCACGAACCATGAGATCATGACCTGTGCCGAAATCAAGAGTTGGCTGCCTAACCGATTTGCCCCGTTCTGCTTTTTTTTTTTTTTTTTAATTCCCAGAAAACATATTTTGTGGGAGAGAGCATGTGAGAGTAGGGGAAGGGCAGAGTGGGCAGAAAACGGGGGAGGGGGAAGGAAGGGGGGGGAGAGAGGGGGGGGGAGAGAAAGAGAGAGAGAGAGAATCCTCCATATGATGCAAGCCTCAATCTCCTCAATCTCATGACCCTGAGAGATCTCAGCTCACGATCTGAGCTTAAAGTAATAGTTGGACACTTAACTGACCTGAGCCACCCAGGTGCCCCTTTTCATGTTCTGCTTTCAAGAGATGTTTGGCTGTTAAGTAAAAAACAAATAGAAGGGCTGACAGGCCGAGAAAGCTGCTGTAGTAATGCAGGAAGATGTGACAATGGCTCAGACTGAACCCTGGAGCTGAGCAAATGTGGAACATATTTGGAGACTGAACCAAGAGACTCAACCAGAGGGCTGGACGGAGGAGAAGCTGAGAAGGGGAGGCTTTAGTTATCTCCAGATTTTAGGCTTGAGAAATGGGGTGCTGCCCTTGGAGAGGGGAAAACACTGAGACACACAGTTTGGAGGAAAAATGAAGGACTTCGTTTTGGATCTTATTTCTCATGCGATCTCAATCAGATATCCGAATGGAGACAGGAAGCGGGCAGACAGACTGCGGCTCAGTGAAGAGTGGGAGTGAGCGGCATCCGAAAGGTCTCACGTGCCGTATGGACGGGACCTTCTAGGGAAGGTGTGCCAAAACAGCCCTGGAGCGGACACTGAAGGCTGGCCAGTGGGGAGGCCCGGTCACGCCACGGCGAGTGTGACGTCCACCCAGGGCGCCTGGAAGACGGGGCAGGTGTGGGTCAAGAGCACCCATCGGGGCACAGCCTCACCAGCTCATGACAGGTTCCCTGGGGGATAGTCGGGAGCGCTTCTGCTTCCTGGGCGCCCCCCCCAAACCCTCTCTCCCCGTTCACGTGGAAGCAATTAGGAGTGTGGTCTGTACCTCAAAGCAGGCCCACTAACTCGAGAAAGGGGGAGGGGGGTGGTAATACCGACACCAGTGGACTTCTCGGGCTTGAAGACACATCTGGACGGTTTTTGGTTGTTGTTACTGGCTTAACAGAATTGTCAGAAAAAAAGAAAACTGACCGGAATCTTATGTTTTGAAGGGAACCTAAGCCTGATTTGATAACAGCCTGTGATTCTTTAGACCTAAATACCCACAAATCTGCACCCACAGACATGGGCCATTCTCCCCAAACCTTACCGCGCCCGGGGCCCTGCAGGACAAAAAGAGAAGACTGAACAGGGAATTACACCCAAAGCTACGGCAAGAAGCCTTCCTTGAATTTTTTCCCATGGAGGAGAGTGTGCGACAGGGCAGTGATGACTGTGCCACCCCCCCAGCCACCCCTCAGGAGAGAGAAGCTTCTATCACAGGTTCCAGTTCCTTCCCCACCACTGCACGTGTCTAGAATGGACTGTCGATCTTTTAACCCCATCAGTTCAGATTGTGAGGCCATAGCCACGCCTGTCTGATGGTACCACACACATCTCAAGAAAGTCTGGACTTGCGACTGGACTCAGGCCCAGGATAAGAAGACATCCCGCTTCCTGGAGAAGCGATGACCATGCTTCATGTTAACATTCACATATTTAAAGGCGCCTAGGCGGCAAGAAGGGAAGCGTGAAGGATACTCGAAGGCAGGACCCTAGCACACACTGTGCACTGCACTCCCGATGGTCCGGCCCTCCTCCCGTGCAGCAGCCCTGACTGGTGAGAATATGGTCCGTGTGGTGCTCCCCCACGCCCGCTCCGCCCCTCCCGCCACAGCGAGTTCAGGCACTGGCATGTCGCTTGTAAGAAAACTTGATGCCAAGCTTCAGAGAAAAATTCTGGGGGCTGATGAAAGAGATTTTTTGGAAAGAAACAGGACTTATCCAGTGCCCGTGTCTTCATGTGATGCCTGGCATGAAGGTACCCAGCTGAACAGAAGAAAAGCCTAACATACGAGGGTAAGAAAAGGGGCACACGTGGCACCCTGGTCCCTGACATCACCACGCTCACACGTGGCACCCTGGTCCCTGACATCACCAGGCTTCTGAACTGAGCCGCTGTCAAGCTGCCATCCTGTGGCAGACAAATGTCATTTAGACCATAAATTCCTTAATGTTTACTCGGGTTGAATCCGGGATGTAAGCTACTTGTTTACTTTCTCAGACTAGTGACAGGGACACTTATGAAAATAACTGCAGCAGGAACAGCTAAAGGGAAGATCAGAGTTCTGAAAAATGGCTAAGACTTTGAGCTGTCCACGCCTGGGAAAACACTGACCCAGTCTGGGTGACAACTGAGTAACCACAGGAGCCGTGGAGACACTGCCCAAGGAGAAAATACTACCAAAAACAGAAGCAGAACTGAGATCAGCAAAGGAGAAGGGACACAGGACACCGAGCTGAGCCCGCAGAGCCGGACGCGGGAGTCCGAGTGCAACCGCGGCAGCAAGCCAAGCGGGGAAGGCACAGAAGCACAGCGCTCCTCCCCAGCTCTGCTGCCGTGAGCGAGTGAGGAAGGCTGGGCTCTCGCACGAGCACTTACAGCCAGGAAGAGAGGGCAGAAGGGGAGAGGATGAGGATGTCCATGGGACGTTACGACACGGGGGAAAGAAAGCTTAAATCCTCAGAGCGCAAGAGACTTTCAGTCGTTACAATATCAGCAGGAAAGAACAGGTAAATTTGGGAAACAGACCCCTCCACCTGACTCCAAAGGGACGAGTAATTGGAGCCAGGAAACGTAAGGTGACAAAATCACTTAATGACACAGGTGAGACTGTGCTAGGTTTCAAAATCCTTTTAAGAAAAGTGCCCAAGAAAGTTAACAGTTATAATTTCAAAGTGACCAGTTTGAGAAAAGGAAGCAATGAAATATCCCAAGACGATGTTGAGCAAAGGATGAAAAGACTGAGGGCTTTAACTGTGGAAGAAGAAAGACAGTCAACACAAGCAGAGCAGAGGGCACGAAGTCACACAAGAGGAGCGGAGAGGAGAATCTCTCCAGACGCTGGGATGGCTGATGCGGCCCAGGACCATGAGAAGGAAAGAAACTAACCCCGAAAGCATCTGAGCAGAGTGCGGATAAGGGGGGGGTGTGCCTGCCCCTCAGAGTAAGAGAGAAAAGCCCACACGTGGACAGAGCAATGGTCCCTTCCTTTCCTGAGGAGCTAGCTTGTGGGCTTATCCCGAGTCCCCCCAATAGTTCAAGGGCTTCAAAGGAAAGCTTCCGCACAAGACGGCCTGAGTGCAAGCCCTGGTTCCCACCCCAACCCACGTCATTCTGGTTCCCATTCACCCACCTGGATAGCTCTGACGGGAAACTTTGGCACTTATTATCCATGGCTCCTCTCCTTGCTCCAACTTGAAGATTAAATCAGGTTTGGTACCATGATACCCTGTTGATGGAAAATCACAGAGGATGTGGGCCAAGCTGCTAGGGACTCAGGTATCTAAACCACAAAATGGAAACACTCACTTGCATGTGCGGGAAGATTACAATTAGGAGATGAGGGCCAAACAGGGACTAGGAGCCTCTGACCTCTAAAGTTCAAGTCCATAATCATTAAGTACTTTAGAGACCTCAGGGTAGATAAAAGAAAAGAAAAAGGGATGGCAATTTATAATTCATGATCTGAGTTCAACAAAGAAGTTGCACTTACCCACAGACACCAGGTGGCTATAGTTCTCCAGTATCACATCCCTGTACAGGTACTTCTGCGCAGAATCCAGTAACTGCCACTCATCCCAGGTGAACTCCATAGATATATCCTTGAATGACAATAACCCCTGTAATAATATACATCCCATTCAATCGGATGCCACTGCATTAGGTGATGTGGACAGATGTACAAGAGCTGCGAAAGGAGAAATGTTCCTCCACAGACCGCCTCCTGTGCCCAGTTCAGCACGAACTTTTAGAATGAAACAGAACAAAACAAATAAAAAAACAGTAAAAAAAATTTTGAGCTTCCATGTGCAAGATACTGTTTTTGATCCTGAAAATAACAGGATGAACACAAAAAGCTTTCAGTCTTGTAGATGAAAATAAACATCTATACCTACATACAAAACAAGCGTTTCAAACCTTTGATAAAAAAAATTATCCAGGATACATTTTGCCCAGAGATGGAGAGAACAATTCTAAACACATGGGAAGGTCTACCCTCCGAAGTATCTGTCATCTTCACAGCTGCTCAGACCATCTTGAATCTCAGTCTGGCACCATAATAATAATAATAATAATAAATAAAATTAAAATTAAAAACAAGGGGCCAAGGAGCACCTGGGTGGCTCAGCCAGTTAGGTGTCCGACTTCAGCGGCTCAGGTCATGATCTCGCAGTTTGGGAGTTTGAGCCTTGATCCTGCTTCGGATTTGGTCTCCCTCTCTCTGTTCTCCCCCGACTTGTGCTCTCTCTCAAAAATAAACATTAAGAATTTTTTTCATTAAAAAAAGGAAAAAAAGGGGGTCCATTACTGAGGCCAAGCAGGGTTCACTCCAGCAGACTCTGGGCCTGGAGTTCGTGCTGAAGAGCCGCAGAGGATGGAGAGCCACTGTGGGGGTGGGGGTGGGGGGCATTCCGTCTGTGCAAGCTGTAAGTGCAGTTCTTGGTATCTCTGCAAACCACCCAGTAGGCTCATCATAAACCCTTTACTGGGACCAAAAAGGTAGTAACAAGCTACAGATCCTCAGGGGATCATTCAACAAGCATTTATGAGTCACTGACCGTGTGCCAGGATTGTCCTAGGTGCTAGGGACTCAGCCATGGACAGAGTCCCTGTGCTTAGTGGGTTTCTCTTCCTACAGGGGGAGGTGACAGTAAACATGTAACTACCCACCAAGCAGGTGGTGATAGTGCTCTATATAGACAAGACTCAAGCAGGGTAAGGGGATAGAGTTCTGGAAGCAGGCATAAGCAGCTGGAGTGATCAGGGAGCCCTCTGGTGAGGCAACATTTGGGCAGAACCTCAAGTGATGTGACAACGAATGTCAAGATTGCTGCAGGAAGAGCCTCCCAGGCTGCATGAAAACAAAGGCACAGTCTTGCAAGGCTCCAAGGGTGTGGTAAGGACTTGGGGTTCCATTCCGAGAGGAGAGGTCATCAGAAGGCCTCAAACAAGAGCAGAGTGATCTGACTCACACCTGAGATCGCTCTGACTGCTATGGAGAGGGAGGGTCCTGGATCTGGAAGCGATGAAGGTAGCTGGGGCCAGAATGAGAGCCCTGGAGTAATAATAAGCAGTGGTTGGGTTCTGGACATCAATGAGAACAAAGCCAGATGACATCCTAGTGGGTATGATGTGGTAAACAGAGAAGGGTGCTGAGGACAGCAAGGACATGGCCCTTTAACAAGGTGAAGATGCCTGAGGGAGAAGAAATGAGGGGAATGAGAGGTTGGAGAAGGAGCTGGACAGAATTCCCTGAAGCAGGCTGCTGCGGGAAGGGAGGGAAGGAAGAGATGGTCTGGATGTCTGCTGAGCCCACAGTCAGGAGGAACTGGTCTGTGTTCAGAGATTTCGGTATACCAGTTCCCTCTGGGACTTCCTGAAGATGGAGGATTCTGGAACATTCTGCAAAGGCTGTGAAGAAGTGATACCCAAAGATTCCTGAACCTGATCCCCCTTGACAGGCTCCTAACCCAACAGCACTGCCTGCAGGAAGATCCCAGAGGGAAGAGACAGTGAATGCAATTCTGGGGGAACCTGCAGAGGTAAGTGAGAATCACTTCACAGCATGGAAATACAGGGTAGGGCCTGTGGGAGATAGGGTTAGGCAACCCCCAGCTTATACCAATGGGTTAACAAGGCACAGAGAAATAAAAAGCCATTGTATGCTCACACCTGAGTTTGGGTAAACACGATTGGCACCCTGAGAACAGGAAGGTGCAAAGGCACCCCAAGAATGGGGGGTGCTGAACCCCAAAGATAGAGAGGGACAGGCAAAGGCCACCATAGGAAAGGGTGCAAAGGCTCCCAGTACAAAGGTGTGTGAGGTAAGATGCATGCAGGGCAAACGTGCCCCCCAATTTAGTCCTATAGCAGAGAAACTGCTTTCACAGGAGAATAGGGCCAGGTTAGGCAAAACAAGTAAACTGGACTATAGGCTCCTGGGCTGTAGGCAAAGCAGCGCAGAGGGGAGATGATTAACAAAAGAGAAGGTGTCTTGTTAACCCTGAGTTTCTTTCCCCTGACTTCTTCCCTAGGCCAGCTAAGACGTGGCACCCCCTTATCTGTCATTAACAACCATCTGCCCAGCACCTGGATTTTGTTTTTTATTGATCCAAACCCCAAACACTGTATATCTTCAAAAACCCCACTTTCCCTCATGCCTATAGGTTAATGTTTACAGTTTGTCTCTTTGTGCACGCCCATCACCTTCGTAAGCCTTCTGATCCTAATAAATACAGGGCAAGGACCCTTACTCGGGGCTCTTGTCTTTTCCGAGACATTAGCCATCTCTCCTATTTTTTTAATCCTGCGTCCCGCTCTCCTGCTATGATGAGAGAGAACTTCAGACCCAGAGTCTATGACAAGGGCCCTGTCTCAGGCTCCAAGCAACCGCCTTCGTGCTGGGTACCGACCACCTGACAACAGGAGCTTCTCTGGCCTAAGTACTGATCTTCCCAACCCAGGAGGAGCCTCCACAGGACGCGGGAGTAGAGAGATGAGCCCTCCCATCCCTCCTCTGCGGTCAGAGTCGGACACGAGGAGATGGAGTTAGAGTAGGACTGGACTCCCCAATATCTGAAAGTGACCAGAGATCACACATGCCTGCTGAGACAGCCACTGGGGCCAAGGACGGGGAGGGCTGACAGGCACATCTGAGGTTGTGATAGAGATAAACGAGGCTGTGACTTCCTGCATCCAGATCACGCCCAGGCCACACATCAAGCCAGCAACTTTGCGGCAGAGGAGAAACCAAAGCAGGACACACCAATGTGACTGTGTAAAAGCTACGGCAGAGGCCACAGAGTGAACATGGACCAAAGTGGCTGAGTGTGGACACTGGATGGAAGAAGAAAGGTGCAGAGCAGAGAGTGGGGGCAAACCATGAGGCTTATTTTAAGCTTTTTACCATATTTTGAGCTTGATAAGAATAAAAATAAAAGACAAAAAAATATTTTTAAAAAGGTTTTATTGGCCAAGCCTGGTCAAGAAATGAGGGAATTGGGGCGCCTGGGTGGCTCAGTCGGTTGAACGGCCGACTTCGGCTCAGATCATGATCTCATGGTTCGTGGGTTCGAGCCCCGCATCGGGCTCTGTTCTGACAGCTCAGAGCCTGAAGCCTGTTTCAGATTCTGTGTCTCCCTCTCTCTCTGACCCTCCCCTGCTCACGCTGACTCTCTCTCTGAGAAATAAACAAAAACACATAACAAAAAAAAAAAAAAAAAAAGAAAGAAACGAGGGAATTAAAAAAAGAAAACTACTATGACCGAGACAGAGTCCATAAATCAGATTTTAATTCATAAGATTATTATACAGAGACAATTCTACTGTAATGTGACATGTACGCAGCAAAAAAAATCATCATAATGCAAAGTCACACACAAACCCACAGGGATTATGGGGAGAACTGAGGGCTGGGGCACAACATCTTTGTCAGCCACACACAAAAATGAACACCATAAGCTACCAAAAACAGCAGATTTACATTTTTAAGAAACACGTAAAATGACAATATAGCACTGTACTTTGGAAAAGACCTGGCGTTTAGATGTCAGAGGGGCTGCAGCTGATCATAAAATGGTGGAAAGAGCGGTGTCTGAGGTCAGACAGAAAGCTCACGCTGTTCCCTACAGTACCAACTGTGTTGAATTCACATCTCTAAAGCAAACATGGTAGCAGACCTAACTATATTTACAAATTTGTTCCAATAAATTTGAAGACTTAGAAGAAACAAAATTTCTCTAAGAAAGTAAAAATAACCTGTTAACTAACTTGGATTTAAATAAGACTTTAAAAAAAAAAAAAGTAAAAGTAACCAAAATTGGCCCACAAAGAATTTAAAAAGAAAGCCTGACTAATCAATGATCACAAAATAAGTAGTGGAGCGCTGGCTGGCTGAGTCGGAAGAGCATGCAACTCTTGATCTCAGGGTTATAAGTTTGAGTCCCACGTTGGGTGTAGAGGTTACTTAAAATCTTGGGGGGAAAAGATTAAAACAAACAAAACACCAAATAAATAAGTAGCAATCAAAGGTTTACCCTCCAACAGGCAACGGACCCACACTACATGTAAAAGTGAGTTCTATCGGGGCCCCTGGGTGGCTCAGTCAGTTGAGCGTCCGACTTCAGCTCAGGTCATGATCTCGTGGTTTGTGGGTTCGAGCCCCGCGTCGGGCTCTGTGCTGACCGCTCAGAGCCTGGAGCCCACTTCCAGTTCTGTGCCTCTCTCTCTCTCTGCCCCTCCCCTGCTCATGCTCTGTATGTGTCTCTCTCTCAAAAATAAATAAACATTTTAAAAAATTAAATAAATAAATAAGAGGTCTACCAACATGGAAGGAACATGTCTAACCTGATGTTGAGCCAGGAAACCATGGGATGCCCACACAGCGTATCACACAAACTTACAGAAAACCCCACAGACAAAACAAGGCAAGTACAGCACAAACTGTAGTGTTAACTCCTTTATTATTAACTCTGATCAAAGTATCTGGATAAAAACACAAGTGAAGTAAAATAAGGCCTATACTCACACACACAACACTAAGACAAGGAAATTTATCCAAATAATTAAAGGACAATCCAAAATGAACAAAAAACCCCAGAAATACCTATCAGCGAAGTCA